GACCCCTACGCGCAAGTGAATTATTGAAATAAAATTAAACCATATGTTAGTCCCGAAATGACGTTAAACCCCATTTCTCTCTTGTTCTCTCTCTCTCTCTCTCTCTCTCTGTCTTTCCAAGTAGTGACTTGTTAAGCATGGCAACACCACTCTTGAAATTGTCCCCCATAAGCCGCTGCATGAAGTATGCCTGTCTTCATTAGTCCAGTTACTACGGAAGGGGGGCGTTAAAACCAATTTCATTTGTTTATCTATAGATTTAAACAACGAAATCATCGGTTGAAATATTTATCTAAGCCCCCAGGAAAGTCCTCTTAATCTCATCTACGGTGATGTAATTTTCAAAATTATCCAGGGGACGGCCCTAAACCCTCCTTTGCTTTGGCCTTTTTGGAACGAGTCGCCTCCGTTTGCCAATCCCTTAATCCGCCCCTGCCGATTCTCTGCCATAGTATGTGAAAGTGTCGTGGATATCGGTTGATAATAAATTGTCGTACGCACTTACCACATACGGCAAATGGCCCCAGCCTAGAAAAAAGATTCACTTCAGGAAAAAAAACGACATGGTGTTAAAATTCGGTGTCGTATGAAATGAGAATTGTCTACTACAGACTGTTAAATGATGGTAGTTCAACAACAAAGATATCTAATATATATATGTAGAAAATAATAAAGGTAAAAATGCCTAAAGGAAGTATATACTATTGTTTAATTGTCTACATGTTTCGCCTAAGTTTGTCAAGACATATATATATATATATATATATATATATATATATACTTTAAATAGCTACAGCATTGTATCTTATTTTGTTTATAAAAGATTTTTATTCCTTTAACGTACATACTTTTATATTAAATCAAACCATTCAATTTAAATTGTATTTTAAATGATTTTGTTTCTATTTGTATTCAGTCCTGATATTATATGTTAATATGGTCTGTAGTTTAGTAGGGACTGAATAAGTTGCCTCATTAAATAAAGTTTCGTATAATTTTGTATAATTACTGCTCAGTTTCAATGTCCTTGTGAAAGTTCTAACTACATAGGGCGTTATAATTCCACTGATGCACGGACTTGAGTGACATCCATAACGCCATGGTTTGGACAACTACAAATATTTAGAACGGATAGCACGACATCAACTCTAAGTAAAGTATATTATAAAACTGAAAAATATATTTAATTCCTTACCTCCAGCTAACAAATTTACTCATATTTACGTTCATCATCTTGTAAACTGTAAAGATCCACAACTTCGTGTACCTATATTACCACTTTATGACCGGCTGTCTGGAATTGGTATAAACGTCCAAATGTCCTGCACCAATCAAGCAAATAAAAGGAGTGTTATAAAAGTGTTATATACTCTTATCATCTTTAATAAATTAGATCGAGTCGAGATAAGATGTGTATAATTATACCCTTCAAAAAAAGTAGGGGATATTGAAATGCAAATACCTATGCAGGTTGTGATATGATAAATAGTCATGAACACTTGACATGCTTTGAGATTATGTTCGCAGATGAAAACCTTATCGCCCCAACAGAAACACTGAGCTGCACATGCGACACGTTGAGGGTGGGGGGGGTCATTGTCAAATTTGACACTTCTAGGAAGGGTTGATGAAAACTGCCGCGTGCTGGTTTATTTTACCCTGTTTGCTATCGTATCGGTTCTTGCATAAGATTTACTTTTTAGCGTATCTTTGCATTAGTGTGTTACGTTTAATTTGCAATAAGGCGTCTTCAACATGATGAACGTCTACGTGCTATCAGCATGCTTCAAATGGGGTTTTACATAGGCTAAGCCTGTTCCCCAATCTCATTCAGACAACCTGAATACAAATATTGTTTATAAAAACACACAAACCCAGGATCGATACATTCGTACACAGGTCCTGCGAAATCGAGGACAAACGGCCAATCAGCTTTCTGTAAACTTGTACCAAGTTACAGGAATTCGAGTTACACCCAATCGAGTAGAAATTGGCTACATTTGCATGGGAGACGACTGCGTGTTGTGCCTCCATTAACTCGCTAGCACATGGCAAACATGTGTCAATGGTGTAGGCAGCGTAGAAATTGGGGTAATCGTCGATGGGCGCATCTAATGTTCTCAGATGAGTCCAGATTTACTCTTGATTTCACCAATAGACGTTTGGAGGCGTGTAAATGAGCGTCATGCTAACGTTAACGTCAGACAGCATGACAGATTCGGGAGTGGCTCTGCTATGGTGTGGGGGATCACCATGACTGGCAGAACGGACTTGCATATTGTTGAAAGAAGGGTCAATGGTGTGTACTACCGTGACCACATCCTGGCACCGATAGTTCTGTCCTTTGCTTAACGTGCAGGTCGACGTTTCATCTTTCAAGATGATAATGCCCGTGCCCACCGCGCTCGTGTCGTGAATGACTACCTCGAGCGTCACCATATTGACCATATGCCTTGGCCAGCTAGTAAATAATATACAGCTGGGGTTGAGATATGTTATTGTACTAGTTAATACTATACAGCTGGGGTGGAGATCTGTTATTGTACTAGTTAATACTATACAGCTGGGATTGAGATATGTTATTGTACTAGTTAATAATATACAGCTGGGGTTGAGATATGTTATTGTACTAGTTAATAATATACAGCTGAGGTCGAGATATGTTGTGTGATAGCGCGTAAGGTACATTATAACTCGAGGATTGGGTGGAAGAAAGGTTTAACTCGTGCGCTCTAGATTATCAGGTCTGGCATTGAGTCAGGTCGTGAGGTTTCGATTCTCCAACTGTATGTGACAGTGAGTAGGGTTGGCTGTCTGCCCCCCCCCCTCCCCCCACAGCTAAAGAGCCCTACACGCAATCGAATTATTGAATTAAATTGAACGATTTGTTAGTCCCGAAACGACCTGGTTAAAGTTAGTAAAAATAATAAATTGTTCTGCAGTATTCCGTACTTTTTGTAATTTATCTATCAGCTTTATCATCATTCAATTTTAGAAAGTTCTTTTACATACATTTTCTTATTTAATTTATACAGTTTACATGTTGCAGTTTGTGATGACAGGTGTTAACATGTGTTGTAGTGTGAAAATCCATATTGACTACAGGATACTCATTATTACACTCGGGGGGTTGGATGGCCGAATGGTTAGCACGTGCGTGCTGTATCATAAAGCCTGTCATTGAGTCAACTGGCGTGGTTTCGAATCCCCAGTTGTACGTGGCAAGGAGTAGGGTCGCCTGTCCAATCTCGTGGGTTTTCCCCGGGTACTCCGGTTTCCTCCCACTGCCAAAGACCCCTACGCGCAAGCGAATAATTGAAATAAAATTAAAAACCATATGTTAGTCCCGAAATGACCTAGTTTGTGTCGAGTGGACGTTAAACCCCATTTCTCTCTCTCTCTCTCTCTCATTATTACACTCATCAGTTTAACACCTGATATTTTACAACTTATAGAGTTTTTAATGATATTTTACAACTTATAGAGTTTTTAGTGATAGTGATCACCAAAAATTGAATAGAAAGTTGGTTAAACTCGGGATGGAGTGAAACATACCGTTGTGATAGTTCCTTTTGTGAGATCTCGTGCACGCGATAGAGAGTACAGTGCTTGGTGCATATATTTCAAATATTGTTTTGAAGCATTGATGCCATGAGAGGTAGTTCTCTATCGATATTTTAGCATACCGGGGCATTCCGTTTCAGAGACTTATTCCCTCTTTGGATTTCCCCTACTCCTTTCCAAATATTGTGTCAACGCGATGAAGGCAATAGTTGTTAGTGGATTTGTTTCTAATTTGATGTAAAACATTAGGACTGTGTGGGGAATAACCTTATTCATTTTCAAACTTGGTGTTACTTTGAGGATATTATGACTTTCTATTCCAGAGGTATATTTTGTGTCTGGAAAAGCTTCTGAATACCATAGAGATGGGGGTTTCCTGACGGCATTCTTATCAAATTTAGTCAACATCTTACTTTCTGTAGCTCTATGTCTTTCGAAAGTTACTGCGTGGGCGCAAAACTTGGCCAAATTGTTCTTTTGCTCATAGAAAGGACTCTCAGCAGTAATAAAACTTAACTTGTGTATCCTGATCTATAAAAGCTCTAACCGCCCACACCTCGACCATCAAAACTCCCTCCCAGAATTTGTGCCAGGAAAGAGATGCCGACAGTTATATCCACAAAGAATTGAAATGAAATGTTGTTTAACACCGAACTGTTCTGCTCCGACTGGGCTAATGAAAACGGGTATACAGCATACAGTGTGCTATGAGGGTAATTTTGCCAGGACAGCGGCACTACGACCTACTCTGACAGCAAATTCCATCTGTCAAGGGATCTTTTACGTGCACACCAATATATACACGGGACCTCTGTTTTTCGACCCATCCGAACGACGAGACTGCTGTTCTTGTCAGGCCTTTTGTTTGTACCACTGATAAGGGGGAAACCACGCTGGAAAATCCCGACCAGCTTTATCGGCTAACTCCGTGAACGAACCCGCGACTTCCAGGCTCGCGCTCCGTCCTGTCCCTCTTACAAGGGAAACCATGCTTGATAAGAACCCGTGACCGAGACCCACAACGGACGATCCTAATTTCAAAATGATTCTTTATTATTATTATTATTATTAATTGAATAATCCCAATATCAGTTTTCTGATTTATTTGTGTCTTAATAAGTTTGGAACTGTGGGGTGTTTACAAGTATCTTTCGGGGAGAGAGATTATGATAGAAAATGATATGAAATACGGTTTAACGTCCTATCGTTCTTCTTCGATTGGGTAATGAAGACAGGCTAACGCCATACAGTGTGCTATGGGTGGAATTTTGCACGGACAGTGGAACTTTGTCTTACTCTTATATCGAACTCCAGTGTGTACACGAGACCTCGATTTACCATCCCCTCCGAACGACTATGTCGCCCCTTGCCACCCCGTCCCCTCCCATGCTGCACCACCGGAAAATCTCAGAAATCGAACACAGGAAATATGGAAATATATTTCATTCCTTTATTGATCACAGAAGCAGATCAGCCGTTCTAATCGGGTAGCTGTTTCGTTCAGTTTACTGGACGTCGTGGTAATGGCTCCTGTTGGATTGGAGGCAATTGCATGTACAAATTCCTCACTTACTCGGTCACCAATACCAATAGCATACATACTTATATTCTTCGCTTTCGCATCATTGGCCACAATGCTTGTTTCGTTTATTGGGGTTAATGCCTCGGCAGCTAAAAATACAAATAAATGAATTTCAGAACAGTAGAATGCACCTTTTCCGAAGGTTAATTGTCACCTACAAGATTTGCAAGTCCTTATCTCGTATCTAACGACATACTCACACAACCAAACAGTCCTTATTCCACTAAAAACACTTAATTCCATTTCAAACGAAGGGTGAGTATAACCTGTTTCGTTTGGAAGACCAAACACTTCTTAATTCATAGTTCTTAATTCATTGTTCTTAATTCATATGTGTTCATTAGTAATTCAGATTAGTAAATTGTCTCTTTGTTTGATTTCATTGTATTAATATAATGATAAGATTTCGTTTAGAAAATAAAAAACAACAAAACATTTACATTTCATCAGAAACGCAAAACGAACAACAGATCTCGAACAACAAATTTCCAAATACAAATCTCAGAATACCAATCTTGCAAAACAATTATCATAGGGATATTAATTATGCTAAAATCGTTTCAGATTAGATAAGTCAAGTTGCGGTCATGAACTGGTGGTTCTGATCATGAGAAGAATACGAGAACGCGATTGGCTATTAGACTCCTTATGGTACCAGCAAACCTAGATGGGATAAGCTAAATAAATCAGGTGTCTTAGATTATGTCTTGAATATATTCACCTGTTATCACAATACCAATTTGTCGAATATCAGGCCATGTGAACCTTTCACTTCTTTCAAAATTCCCCACCAAAACGTTTATTGCATCACCAAGGATTGGCGTGCCTCCTATCTTTTTAATATCATTGATACTAGACTGTTGTGTCGTGATATCGCTCGTCTTTTCTAACCTAAGAACCTTGATAGACACGAAAATGCTAAACCCGCCATGAGCGAGGAATCCGAAGCGCCTAGCATCACCATCGATTCTCAGTTCAGTATAAAGCTGCTGTATTAAATCCCTTTCCTGTCCAAGCTCATCATCAGTTATCTTGGCCGAAGCGTCAAGAAGAACCATAACGTCAAAAGACTGGTTGGCACATAGAGGTGTAGTAACTGTAATTACAAAAAACATATACAGGTGTAGTAACTGTAATTACAAAAAACATATACAGATATTATTTATAATGTACACAAATGTCTGAGAGAGAGAGAGAGAGAGAGAGAGAGAGAGAGAGAGAGAGAGAACCTAGTGATTACGGGACTCACATATTGTTCAGCTTGATTTTGTAGGTGTAGGGGGTCTTATGATTTAAAGGGTATGCCAGGACAAATACTACAAGTTACACGGGAGGTCAGTTTTATACAAGTTATAAATGTTCAGTAAATGTTTTCACATTCACTTCAATTAAGACGAAAAAAAACAAAGCAACACGAAAAGACACGAAACAACAAATACAACACATTCACCACATTAATGGGAAGCCTCAAAGTACCAACTGTCTTTGGGAAGTAGGGGGTTGTGTGTTACAAGGTGTCGTGTCGCCTGTCCAACCTCGTGGGTTTTCTCCGGGTTTGTGTGCCGTGAAGTTTAAGGAGTTTCACCTCTTGGGTTTTCGAATTGCTGTTGTAGCATCTTGTAGGCCATACATAATTGTTCTGAAAGTATGAAAGACATGGAAACATATTACGTTTCCATGTCTTTCATACTTTCAGAACAAAACTGCCTCAAACTAGGTGAAACATTAAGTGAAACATTCAGAACAAAACTGCCTCAAACTAGGTGAAACATTAAGTGATCGGTTTCAAACACCTTTTCCCTAACGATCTAGTATTACAACTCTTCGGGGTAGTTAATAGCGAGGTGAATATCATCCGTGTAGCTGTTATCGTTCTCTTATGCTGTCCGGAACAATAACTTAACCTTTCTGTGTCACTATCAGAATTGGTATTAACAATCAACAACATTAAAATTATATTCAGAATCTATTAAACTATTTAAGTCACGTATGATGTCGAACTCATGTAAAATATGAAGACTATTATAGATTTATATTTATCTAGAGTATAACAAACGTATTTGGGATTTTTAACTTGTATGGGCGCGATCTGTAGATTCCACCTTTGCTACTAAATCTATCTTACTTGAGAATAAGCGGATGCGAGATCTATTATCATAGCTACCACATTAGCTATAGTACATGCAGACAGAGAGACGTATTATTATAGCTTAACGTCATTACCATTATTCAAGCAATCGTTACTGTCACAATTCCTTGTTTCTACAGGTTCACCAGGACAGTCAGCTCCACCAAACTCCGGGGGAGGGTTGTCACATACTCTACTCCTTTTCTGTTCAACAACACCACATACAGAACAACATGTACTAAACTCAGACCATGTTCCCCAATTACCGTCAACTGAAAAACAGCAAATCTTTTTTATAGGACACAGAGGACATATACTTCAATCACATCGTATTATCCCAAGTCAAGACTAACTGAAAACATTAATAATTTTTGTTTTATCCCTAGTGACTACCTACTGGAAATATCATATACAAGTTGATAATCAGGCTTATGTCCGAACTTAAACGTCATTTAAAATTTAGACATCAGTTTAATATCAATTGTCCGTGATCCTGTCAATAAATTTGTAAAGTAATATTTTGCTTTTCGTTAGTAAGGTTGGTTGTCAGGCTAAATTTTCAAATACGGACATTTGACCTTCAATGAAATGTATTTGGAAATATGATAGGTGCATTCAGATTAAGAATAAAGAGAGGTCACCATGTAATTCACCGTCCAAAAAACACAGGCACCGAATAATTATTTCCGTAAGTTTGACGGCCATCGTTTCCGCAATACAAGTAGACAAGTTCACACCCGAAACATCTACTGGCGGCTAAAATATAATTAAGGTTCTCAATTTATTGACATTTGTTTATATAAACGTCTTGTACATCTTTGTGTATTTATTGAAACATCTTACCAGGACAGTCAATCATCGTGTTACAGCTTTGTGTTTCAATACCATCACCATGACAATCAACTCCACCATAAGCTGGAGAAGGATTATCACAAGATCTAGATCTGCTCTGTGTTCCATTACCGCATGTTACAGAGCAAGCATTACACCCAGACCATGGGCCCCAATTACCATCAACTAAAAAAAAACGAAGGCAATTTACTATCTCCAATTGTTGTCTAATTGTTCTTTTCTCATGGCGTATGTTCGTCTTCGTTAGCCCAGTGGGCACAAACAAACAGGACGCTAAACCTCATTTCATTGTCTAGAAAACACAAATATTTGTTTTTATTATCTGCAGTTTTTATGTACCTCTTACAATGAGAAAAAGATAAAATCTAATAAATTGATATCATGCTCAGAAAAAGATTAAATCCAATAAATGGCCATTATGTTCAGAAAAAGATTAAATCCAATAAATGGACATTATGTTCAGAAAAAGATTAAATCCAATAAATGGACATTATGTTCAGAAGAGTATGATATTGATTTGGATGATTATAAAAATCCCGATGTCATTCTATGTCGTTAAACCGTAAAGTTTATTTCAAGTGAGACTACCAGCTTTATTAATATATCTATTGTAAATAGAGGATTGACAAATTACAAATATCTATGTAATCCTAGGGCAAAGATCTCGACAGCATGTTGATGAGTTAGTATTGGTTAATGATGACCCACTGTAATCGGCATTCGAAACTCGGCTTTCACAATTCTTGGTGTATTTCGCCCCCCCCCACACACACCCAATGATAATTTCACGTTAATACTATAAAATAATTTTCAAAACCTTTTCTAATATCATCCACAATTTGTTATTTTAATAATCTTTATAAAACTTTGCATACTTTGTGTCATTTTTACATTTTAATGAGACTATGGCCGCAACCTTCGTCGAGATATACTACATATATTTCATGATTCCATCTTCTTCCACACTTGAATGAAGTCGTTACAAGGGTTGACCGTCGTCTCATCTCTTTCCCCTCTTGCATGAATTCGTTTCAAATGTTCGCGGATGCATCAATAATAAAAATAACAAAAGAACTCACCAGCACAGCATCTGCTGCAAATCTGCGATCTTCTAATTTGGTCGCAACTTATCTGTTTCAGTGTCCGACGTTGGTGGTACCGTCTCCACATAGACAGTTGACGTCCATAAGAATATCTGCGACGGATTCCATTTCGTACCCTGTGTCTTCTACCCGCATCAACAACCGTTATAATAATGACAAGCACCAGAGTTGCGGCCAATATAAACCGCATCTTGATGTATCTTCTAGTTGTATCAACGTGTACAACCAACTGGAAGACGACTGTTGAACATTGGGAATACCTCGTCTTTTAAACAGATTTCAGATGTTGACAGATGTTCTTGTTTCCCGGTAAAATTAAATTGAGTTTCCGTGTTTTAATATTACTTTTATTTTCATGTGAGGAAGTATCAAGTAGAAATTAAATTATTTGTGTTGTTACATACCCCCATAACGTAAACAATGTTTTCGTGGAACAAATACTTGTGTCGGGCGACATGTGGTCTACTAGTGTCTGGCCCAAAAACCATGGAACCACCCCTCAAATAGTGCCCCTCTAGCTACTATCGTCTGGAAATATGACCTAAATGCTTTGGTCATCCTTGATTATCCAGGCGTATCCAGCATTGACAGCCATGCAAATATATCAACAAATTAAACATTTCCAGAACTTAAAGATACATTATGGGAGATAAGATAAAGAGCTGGGAGTTCTCACTATAATAGTTAAAAAATAGATAACTTAAAGATACATCATAGGATATTAAATACAGAGCTGACAGTTCTCACTATAATAGTTAAAAAAGGATAACTTAGGCTAAAGGGAATTTGTTGAAAATGTCAGTCAAATTGATCCACTCTGAACCGTGATTTTAGCGATTTAATATTGGGGCTAGCCTCGATAATCATTACTAAAGTCGATAGGATAAAAAACAAGTCTCGATTATCCATTTTTTGATTTAATTATGAATGGAAGTCGAACAGCAAATCGAAACGTAATCCAATAAACATCGCAGACTAGCTAGGCCATCGAGGATTGATTATGGTCTGGATAAGATCATTAATGTCTAATTAATAATTTAGATAACATTTCAGGCCTTAAAGGCATATTTAACTTTTGCATAATGTATGTTTAAATAAATTATATTTTCCTATTATGTTTCCTGGTAACTTAATCCACCATTTTATGTATAAAATTTGATTATGATATGCAGCATGGCAGTCATGCGAATAAATCAATACATGAAAGAAATCTATTGCTGCAATAAATTCATAACATAAGCAATAAAACTTAAACAAAGAGAAGCCGCATGAAGATATGTCACTTATGACGTCATACACATCAAATGTCACAATAATCCTGGAAGTCATGATCGCATTTCTTTTTTCATTTAACTGTTCATAATTTGAATTTGTGCCATGAACTCCGATTGGTTAATATTAGTTAAAATGTTTTGTGTCATGAACTCTGATTGGTTAATATTAGTTAACATGTTTAAAAGTCAATATAATCAAAATACCCACGATAGATAATTCCCAGGCTACAATCATGACCATCGATTAGATTCCGCGAAAGATAGTGTTGGGGTTGTCGTACAAATCATGACGTCATTCGACAAATAAAATATTTTGTAACTGCCGTTTAGCCTATCATAGATCGCAAAATGGCAGAAAACACACAGGAAGAAATTTAATTAAATCAAATAATAATCTAACATAATCATGTATGAAGATGTCAGAGCAACCCATTTTTCGTTATTCAGACTTGAATGTTTAAAAAAAAAGCAAATTTAAGGATGGATATTGATGAATAATGAATGCTCAGAGATCCTCCTTTACTAGAGAAAGTAATGTTTTTGTATACAAAATACTTGTGTCAGACGACTGTCTAGATGATCCAGGCGTATCCATCATTGGCTCGAGTCGGGCAGTGACATAAACCTGGTGGCGTTGCACTTCCGCTTCCGAGTTACACTACTACTTCCTGTTTCACAAAACTTCAAATCCGACATGAACCGTTACTTAACTCCACCGAGCAACGCTGGGTAAATAGCTAGAAATGAATGAATGACACTTCAACATAGTGCGTGCCACAATAATAGAAAGAGAGCTGCTCAGTTTAGAAAATGGTTTACCTAAGGACTAGTGTGCTATATTTGGCGAGGAACCAACCATGTGACGTCATGTAAAAATTCGAAGTCCCTCCATCGATGCGCAATTGTCGTATTATAATTGTTACTTGGGGGGGGGGGGGGGGGGGTAATATAAGGATTGGACTAACTCTATACACAGGGGTCTGACCTTCTATCCGCATATATATATATGCATACACCATGTCCAACCAGACAATATATAATACAAATATATGGAATGCCTGTTTAAGACTCATTTTTACCTGCTCTCGCTTCAGCTCGGTTTTATTCAACAATTCGTAATGTCAGGCAATTTAACCTCTGCCGATTCACTCGGATATGTTTTTTCTTCAATCTAGTCGTTTTGATTTGCATAAATACTCCCACAAAACGGTATCAGAGCCACCTGTTTCCAACGTTTTTGTCCATTTCCATTCTGTCACAGACTCCATGCGCTTTTGTCACACAAAACGATCCGCAGTGATTAGACGCATTCGGCAGACCTCGGTGTTTTTGTAGGGGGGTTACCGGATTACCCAATAATTGCCGAATGATAGGAAGTACTAATATTTATTATGTGTAAATAAACCATGGACGAAGTTAAATGGAATCGTGCAAAACTTTAAAAGCAAACAGATGGTGGAAACTCAGAAGGCGAAGGATTTGTGTGAAAAGGGCGACGGTGTGATTGTAACCGGTCACGGTGTGGGACTGGCAAACACATATTTAATGGTGCTTGCATGAATTTCTTATCAAGTTATAATTAACTTTTCATTACACAGTTTTACAGTCGAATTCCCTTCTACGCTCTCTTATTTTGGTTTGGATTAAGGGCACGTAGTCTCGTGGCTGTAAAAAAAAAATGTCGCAGGATTTCAGAATTACTTTTATTTGATGCAGGTGTTTGTCCAAGGATTATTGCAGAATTTGATGGTCCATATTGTACCAGTGTTAGATTAGTGTTCATCCCATTTCTTATGCCTCGTTGTTGACAAAACAGGTTTTCTACAATATCCGAGTTCAGATATCCAGGATTGATGCTGTTTCCATGGATTAACACTCGTTCACAAAGAGATATGAACCCAGTTATTGATGACTGTAAGTCTTCTCTTGTTTCACGTGTAAATAAGTTTTTTCTGACATCTAAAGTAACTGAATCTGTTACATCCTTTTCCCATGACAGAAAACAACCATTAACTTTCCTTAAGCACTTAAATCTTCCATCACATAAGTCTGAAATTGGTCTGTTTTATCACAAAATATGTCGACTAACACAGTTGTTGCTCCAATATCTCAATTGATGATGCAAATCTTTCTGAAGTTTCAATTCTTCGTTGGTATGCTTTCATAAGATATGTTCCCGTGTCAAATGTCGGGGGATTTTGAATCCAATTTGAAAGTTATATTCATAACACTCCATCCAGTGATCCCATACAATAACCTTGCCATTAAGAACAAGATACCTACATGTACCAGCTGAGGACTTGTGTGCTTCCTTGCTGGATTCAAGATTATTACGGTCCTTTTTCAAACAGTGCATACTATCTTGTATGGCAAAAATGAAATGTTCTCTGTAGAAGAAATCTCTGAACTGAAAGTTAAAATCTTTAGGGCTACCGTAAAAAAGCATGTTGGTGAATGTTCTATTTGTAGATGCCCATAATAAGCATTTGGAAACCCCATTTCTCCTATTAGGTCAACACATTCCCAGAAAGTGTTATACAATTGATGAGCCGTTGCTGGATATGCACTAAAATAAGCTACAGGCCACCTGAAATAATTCTTATTAAATGTCTTATAGGGTTGGTCGGTATTTAACATTTGTTTTTACAAGTATTATATAGAATACCAAATCTGGCTTTAACATTCTTTGTTGGAAAATGGTAATAAATAAATAAAATTGCACAAAGAATTACATGCCGGTTTGGTCTGGAAAGCGGAAAAATATTAATTTTTATACGCCCACACAAAGTTTGGTCGTATTTAGAGATATGGGGTTTAACTGCCACTTGACACAAACTAGGTCATTTTGGGACTAACATGCAGGCTTGGTCTTGAAAGTGGAAACAGTATTAATTCTTATACGTCCACACATAGTGGTTGCTTCCTGTTTTGTAATTTTTTCAAAGAAATTCCTGATTTTGTCATATATGTCATTTTATTTAATAATGGGTCCCTTTTTGCAATATTTGTAGTGATAACTTGGAATTAAGATAGAATTATGATATTTTAATACTATCTGTTCTCTGAAACCATAGACGGATCCAGAAATGGATGTGCTACAACCGGACTAGTCAGTTTTCATTTGGTTTTGGAGGATTGACAATACACAACTGGTGTAGTATAGAAAAACTAAAAGAACTATTTAAAAATGACGACAGATTTGTGGCTGCAAAGGAAAGAATAAAGAAAGCAAGCGTTTTAGTCATAGATGAGATTAGGATGCTGTCTAAGAGGACATTTTAAATGGTTGAATCTGTTGCAGATTTGTGAAAGAAACTGACTGTTGTTGGTGGACTCCAGGTTTGTACATATAAATTGTCTTTTCATGTCTCTGCAATTTAAAATCAAGAGACAGTCATCGACGAAAAGCATGACAATAGGATCGAAAAGTGATTCGAATTTATTGTGTTATTGTATATATTTGCTCTTGGATAATTATATAAATATATTAGGTTATTTTGTTCTTTTTATCAGATCATTGCAAGTGGTGACTTTAAGCAATTACCTACTGTTCCAAACTACAGATTTGATAATGATGATGCATATTGCTTTCAGAGTGAAAAATGTGTATTGGCACTCTCGTATCATATTATTTTAGTGCAGGTAAATTTGAAAAATTCTCAGACCAAGAATAAAACACATCTATTGTTACATATTAATCAGGCATTATGTAAGAGCTAAATCTGCCTATTGCATGTCTTTTTGAGGCCTTAAATGTTATATACATTGTAAGTTATTCATAAAACATTTATGAAGAGGGCAAGACCATAATCATGCCATCAGATGGCTCTGAGTTTAAGTAGATTAGAATGGTTTGGCCATTTAATGATTTAATTTAAATATGACAACCATTGATAACGTCGCTCAAAATAAGCTAATGTGAATGAAATTTTCAATATTTTCATTTTGCATTATCTATTTTAGAAATATTAAAGAGAGAACGGCCAGCTCTTTATCTAAATCTTACATAATTCCTCTTTAAAAACTTCCAAGTTCATTCCTTCACCCTTTAAAAGTTAGCAGGCACATAAAACACAATATTCACCCGCAAACTTATTGGTTCATCTATGATATCACATTACTTTCCAGTTGACTTAATTTCTCAAACTGGTGTGATGTCACATTTTTAAAAAACAAGTTAAACACATTTAACATTTTATCTAACCTGTTAAGAAGTGTGTACTATTAGGGTAAAGGCACTGTATATGTAAAATTACACTTCTACATGAATGCTGCAGTGTAGTAGAAATGTTACATGATTGATTATCCAGAATATACATATTGGTAGGAGATTCCTCAAACACTGTGATGCTCCTAAAACATTGATATTGAAGGAAGGGGCTCTTATAATGATAACAACGAATATTGCTGGAGTATACAATGGTATGCAAAGAACTGTTCATAACATGCAAAACGAAAGAGATCCAGTAAAACGATTCCTATAGGAAAATTCAGATTTGACATATTTGATGCAAGACAGCAAAATACTTTGGCTGCAAGATTACAGTACCATATTAAATTAGCATTTGCACTTGTAGTGCATAAAGTACATGGGCAAACATTACTGTGTGTTGAGTTTGACTGCTTCTTATTTTTGGCCCTTACACAGATGGCCCTTACAGCTATAGATAGATGTACAAATAAGAAAGGGCAACGAATTGTGAATTTCAATATGAAAGCTGCTAACTTGAAGCACCCGGAAGTTGTGCATAATTTTTATTCTGAACCTTTCACAATACCTTGGAATGACTTGTCTTGTTGCAATCACAATATACATTATAATCAATAGGCGTTCCTTTAGACAACACCACCAGTATAACAAATGCAGAAATTAATCTTCCTCGACTAGAATGTCCCTGGAAACTTGGATAGAGAGTTTATGGAACATATCCCAGAAAATGTTATGCAAGGGCAACCTTTGAGGGATCATCTTAAATTTTTATACTCCAAAGTCTTTGAAACAATTTATAAAATTACTGGTACTCGGAAAAAATCTCAAAACTTGATTTCTGCTTACACTAGCCTCAATACCTTTCTTATAAGTGATCAACATGCAAATTTAGGCAAATTGTTATTTGGATGTGAATTATTTAACAAACACCAAAACAAATTTTCCACGAAACTCACATTCTAGTTAATGGATAAAGAAATTGCAAACTGTCAGAAGACATTGTATCTCAACAGGAACAAAACATACAAGATCAAATTTTAAACCCAGAAATACACTCTGCTGTAGCACAAAGTTTAGCAGGTGCATGTAGGCACAAAGTTTCACATAGGTTGCATGATCCTGTATTAAGAAAAATATGGAAAGTTGATAAGAAAAGCCGTTTTCTGAGAAAAATGGAATACAAAAAACAATTTATTCTAAAGCAACTTAGAATTTCTGAAAAGAAACGTGAGTTGTACCTATGATGACACTATGCTTGAAATTCAACACAAGCAAGGTCCAACTAGGGGTTTATTTATTGTTAGTGAACCTGTGTTAAATTGTTTTTGTTAAACTTATTTCAGTTCCACAAAAATGCCTGAAAACGGAGACTCACATCTCAATCTTGAAAACATACATAAAAAATATCGAAATTTAGTAGTTAATGAAAATGAAGTAATTGACCTTTGGATAGGATTATTCGGGGAATTTAGTGACGATGATGCAGTGTTCATTTCGTTGCTTCTCGATTTGTTTAGGGCACTTACTGAAGACTTTATTAAAATTGCACTTGTTGATGCTATTAAAGAATTCAAACAAAATATTCCCCGTAAACAAAAGACAAGCCTTGAGGTCAAAGGTGACGGCGCTTGGGGAAAAGCAGAAAAAAACCAGAACCGTCAGCCAGTACATCGGTTAGCTCTGTTACCCCCAACATCATCTAGTTCTACTATTGGCACTGATACAACCATATGCAAACAATGTAATAAACTATGGGAACCAGCTGACATATTAGATGAGAACATTGCATGTGATATATTAATTATTGGGTTCATTACCACTGTGTAAAATTAAAAGGGGGTGCGCCATTTCTTTTTTTCGTAAAAACTCCAGATGGCACTGTCTGATATGTTCTGGAAAAGGTAAAAGCAAGGGCAAGGGTAGAGCAAAAAATTCAAAATAATTTTGGTAAAACAGTATTTAGTATAAAAGTTTGGAAAAGGCTCTTCAATAGCCATTTATTTTATACTATTTAGTCACTGGTTTTCATGTATAAGAATAAAAAATTTGTTCGGCATTCTGCTCTGGTATTTTTAGATAATCAGTCATCTGATGTGGGAGAGAAACGAGTTGTGTGTTAAAACATCCTCTTGACACAAACAGCTAGGTCGAGAGAGAGAGAGGGATGGGATTTAACGTCCACTCGACACAAACTATATCATTCAACATATGGTTCAATTTTATTTCAATAATTAGCTTGTTGGTAGGGATGTTTAGCAGTGGGAGGAAACCGAGGAAACCTGAGGACCCAGGGAAAATCCACAAGGTTGGACAGTAGACGCTACTCCTTATGTGTTAACCATTCGGCCATTTTAGTAGCTTTTCATGTAAGCAATTTCAAAATGGGGGCTAAAGGATAAAATTTGCTTAATTTTGTGGGTTTTTTTTTTTTAAAAAAAATCCACTTGATAGGGCTTTGGCAGTGTAACACAAGCTGTGACAGGTCTTTTTACTGAAAAAATATTTATAAATACAATATTATGTGATACCAATATAATTTGTAGTTAAGTTCATCTGATTTAACATTTCGTATTTTAGAAAAAAATAAAACAGATGTAAAAATTTCAATTCTGCATAGGCCTACTAAGTACTATTTAATAAAAAAAATATAATAAATAAATCGTCCATTCAGTTTTTAAGGGCCTCAACAAAACCATTTGTAGTTTGTTCCATTTACCCAACAGCATTTTTGAAAAAGAAAAAAACTTTATATGTATATATGTATATCCTGCACATATTCGAGTATTGACGCTTCATAAATTAAAAGTTTACAAACAAATCAGAAAAAATAATTCATCTGATTTTCCACACAATGTTTTAGAAAAAATAATAAATTTAAAAGCCGGTATAGGCCCGTCAAAATGCCGAAGAAAAAATATGAATATCAGAAATATTAATTTTAATGTATTTACCAAACAACGGTGTCAAATATTTTTTCCATAATTAGACAGGCGATGACAGCGAGTTATCCTCCCCTGATAGTTCTTGTTCATAATTGCTATTTAACCACTGTGTGAAGTTTGGTATTATGCATTTAAAAATGCAAAACACACACTTTAATCTTATTTTGAATTTTATTTGTGGCTAATTTTATTTGTTATGATTTTTAAAATTCACTGCGGATCGTTTTGTGTGAAGTCAGCGCACGGAGTCTGTGGCAGAATGAAAATGGACGAAAATAATGTAAATATTGGAAACAAGTGGCTCTGATATCGTTATGTGGGAGTATTTATGCAAATCAAAACGACTAGATTGAAGAAACCAGCGGCTGCCAGGCAGGATACGCCCACATTTTCGAGAGATGGATAGAGAACAAGCTAACAAGAAAGTGATTTTTCCTACAATCAAGGGCCATAATTCAGGAAATTACAATTCGATATGCGCATATATCGAAAGGAACTGAGATCTTTGTGTTATAAACTTAGATTTCAAGTTTCAACAAAATCGGATAAAAATTGTGACCTCTATAGGGTCCACAACCTTGATATACCATATTTTTTCGCTATTTGAGAACGAACGGCGGCCATTCTGTCTGTCAATTTTGGGGCGATTTTCACAAAATTCAAACTCAACTGTCCTTAAGGTGGAACGGTAATATAATAATACGGTTTTTTAAATCGGATAAAAATTATGACCTCTAATGGGTCCACAAGCTAAAAACATGATTTTTCGTACAATCAGGGGCCATAATTCAGGAAGTTACGGTCCAATATGGGCAAATATTGAAAGGAACCGAGATCTTTGGGTTATAAACTTATATTTCAAGTTCCAACAAAATCGGATAAAAATTGTGACCTCACACTCAGTCGTCCTTAGGGTATAACGGTGATATAATAATACGTTTTTTTAAATCGGATAAAAATTATGACCTCTATAGGGTCCACAAGCTTAAAAACGCGATTTTTCGTACAATCAGGGGCCATAATTCAGGAAATTACAGTCCGATATGCGCGAATATCGAAAGGAACCGAGATCTTTGGGTTATAGACTTACATTTCAAGTTTCAACAAAATCGGATAAAAATTGTGACCTCTATAGGGTCCACAACCTTGATATACCATTTTCTTACGCTATTTGAGAACGAACGGCGGCCATTTTGTCTGTCAATTTTGGACCGATTTTCACGAAATTCGAATTGAGTCGTCCCTAGGGTGTAACGGTGATATAATAATACGTTTTTTAAATCGGGTAAAAATTATGACTTCTATAGGGTCCACAAGCTAAAAACGTGATTTTTCGTACAATCAGGGGTCATAATTCCGGAAGTTAAGGTTAAATTGCCTGACAATACGAATTGTTGAATAAAACCGAGCTGGTAAAATTGAGTCTTAAAGGAGCTAAGTCGCTAATATTTATGATCTAGAAATTGACACAAATGGATTGCAACACAAATAATAATGTAATATGAATGTATATAAACTGATTTACATTCAATTGTTTCTGTTTTACTGTAATTTCTAATCAGTTATATTCAGGGAGATACGCCAGAAGTCTTGATCAAATGTCAATCTCTAGCGTCTTGTGTTATTCCATTCTACACCGATAGTATTTATTGCGCATGCTCTCCAGATAAGAATATGACGTCGCCATTTGACATGACTTTTAGAATATGCCCAGCCTCGTTTTTCGAGCCCCTTGTTACAAATGACACTGAAAAGCATTATGGTACACGAATATTGAATATTGGATATCAGAAGCCCATATTTTCCCGGTAATATCAAAACATCAATGTTGATTTAAATTGACAAATAATTCGTGTTTTTAATGTTTACGGATTTGGATGATATTGAGTTAGAGACTTAGCTACTTTAAACAGGCATTGCATTCCTGTTTTTTTTATCACATATTGTCTGGTTGGACATGGTGTATGCATATATATACGGATAGAAGGTAAGACTCCTGTGCTTTATTCCTTTTGCCGTGAAATTTTATTGTCCCATTCTGTTTCCTGGTAACAGAATTCGTGATATGTATAAAATTTGATTATGATATGCAACAGGGCAGCCAAGTGAATAAATCAATAAATTAAACATGTCTATAACTTAAATGAATTTTATTTTCCTATTCTGTTTCCCGAAGAGTTAATCCACCATATGTATAAAATTTGATTATCATATGCAACATGGCAGTCATGCGAATAAATCAATAAATGAAACATATCTATTGCTGCAATAAATTCCCTTTGCGTATGTTTTTGGTACTGTATGCGAATATAATCAAACCAGCGAATCAACCAAATAATCGTATGATACGTCTGGTCTCGAGTTTTTGTCTCTTTCGAAGGACTAGATATTCTCTTTTTCAGTCCAGCCGCTGTCTTTCCTGTGGCGGAAAATTCGTCTTGCCTCAGCAGTTAAAAAAAACTCTTTTCGCTCCTTTATCATAAAACAACCCATGTTGCTTTTCAAGTTTGAATAACGAATATTGAATATCGCGACAGAACCTTGACAGTTAGAATTGTCGCTGGGTTGACAAAATGTCCCTCATAGCACACACGCCATGTTTAATAGCTCAGTGGGTTCAGCCAATAGTACGTTAAACAGCATTCTATTCTCCATTGACAAATGGACAGCGATGATATGAAATAAGAAAGAGTAATCATTTTGTTTCAGTCCCAAAATCTGAATCACGAATAACTAAACGCGTTCTGGTTCGTTATTCCCTAAAAAGATTAACGAATAATCTCACGCTACCACTTCACTTTCATATTATCTCTTCAAGTCACAGAAGATGAACAGGAATCAACCCAAGAAGCAGGAAGACGAAAAGTTATGTGAGAATCTATCTGACATTCATAAAAAGAATTCACTCACTAGATCAGAGAAAACAAAAAAAAAGAAAGAAAAAGTCCTTACATAGCCATGTTTTTTTTAAGTAAAGAATAAATAAAAACAAGGGAATGCCTGGGCCTTTTCTAATTTTCTCGTTTACTCTTATCTGGTGACAGAGAATTCTTTATTTTTTGTTAATTGACAGATGTCCTCTCACGGTCTCAAATAACTTTTAATCTTCAACAGAAATGTCAGTGAACTGAAATTCGTCCGTGTATCTGTAATCGTTCGTTCCATCAGTCAGTTATATATTCCCGTTTCTTCAAATATTCGTTACGCATCTCTGTGTTAAAATGATAATTATTTGGATTATTAGGAATGTGCTTAACCAGTTCTGTCACATATATAATAATGGCGGACACAAACATTGTCCTTGAACTCAATTGTATTCCATTTTACACACATTTCCCATTGTTTCTTCAACGAAAGTAGGGGACTATTAAAATGGCTACGTCCGTCCGTCCGTCCGTCCGTCTGTCTCACTAGAATTGTTTAAATAAAATAAAACCAAGTACGAACAATCCAAACCATTAGACAAAATTCGAAGTTCTAAAAAAACGGTATAGACAAAATAGTGTAATAAGGCAAAATAGCCCGTGTCTCCAAATGACGGATTTGCTGTGTTCACGAGTCATTATCACAATTTCACTCCATTTTCCAGACACAATGTTGATTTGTAGTTTCTATTGTTTAATGTGTCTTATTCAAACTGATACTGGTTATCAAACTGTATTACAGGAGAAATTCATTTTCCGATGTAAAAAAGCGGGGGGGGGGGATAGGCTGCGTCAGGGGATACCCCAAATTAATTCTAAAACAAAGTTTGTACCATAAATAAATCTGTCATTTATTATGTTATGTATATGTTTATGCGATATGAATCTATCTACCATACTGACATACGAATAAATCTATATATCTGTCATACTAGCATACAAATACATCTATCTATCATAATGACATACAAATTGTATTTGTGAAGTTGTGACGGAGAATAACCAGAATATGCTCCCTGTTCACTGTTGATATACAAGAACACGAGTCACATTATCAGTCAATGACCTCATGCAAA